GTGTATAACAAAGAACAGTACAACAGTATATTAAAATGTCTCTAACATTATATAATCATTTCTAAACATAACAATTTATTATCTGTTAATTTTATATACTAATAAATCTAGGTGAAAAATTAATTATAAAATGTTTACAACATGTTATGTATAAATTTAAATATTATAACATTAATAAATAATTTTTATACAATGTAATCAAATTAAGAAAGTGTCATTTTACAAATATTACTTCCAATCATTTAATGGCTTATATTTGGTGTAAATTATGTGTTTTATAATAGGGTTTGACTGTATTTTCAATATTAATTCAAGAGCACTGCAACTGCAGAATGTGTTGACTTATATATTGTGCACTTCATCTCTGTTTCACTCATACATTATTGTTAAGCAAAAGACAAAAGCAGTGCTTAAAGAATGTGAAGATCAAGTTTAAGTCATTTACAATTAGCCATTAATTCCTAGAGTTTTGATTTCACACTAAATTTGGTGAATAAATGGATGGATTACTGGAGCTATTAATAAGAAAATTAGTCAAACATAAAATGTGTATAACAAAGAACAGTACAACAGTATATTAAAATGTCTCTAACATTATATAATCATTTCTAAACATAACAATTTATTATCTGTTAATTTTATATACTAATAAATCTAGGTGAAAAATTAATTATCAAATGTTTACAACATGTTATGTATAAATTTGAATATTATAACATTAATAAATAATTTTTATAAAATGTAATCAAATTAAGAAATTTGTGTCATTTTACAAATATTACTTGCAATAATTTAATGGCTTATGTTTGGTGTAAATTATGTGTTTTATAAGTGGGTTCGACTGTATTTTCAATATTAATTCAAGAGCACTGCAACTACAGAATGTGTTGACTTATATATTGTGCACTTCATCTCTGTTTCACTCATACATTATTGTTAAGCAAAAGACAAAAGCAGTGCTTAAAGAATGTGAAGATCAAGTTTAAGTCATTTACAATTAGCCATTAATTCCTAGAGTTTTGATTTCACACTAAATTTGGTGAATAAATGGATGGATTACTGGAGCTATTAATAAGAAAATTAGTCAAACATAAAAGGGATCCAATTGTCAACGTTTTATCGCCACTCTTGTAAAGTATTGTTTGTGAAGATGTAGTAAAGAAGTAACAAATGGTAATAAAATATATATTCACAAAATTCTCATTAAAATCCGTTCAAATGTTTTAGAAGGAGATGTTATCAATCGTGAGATGAATTTTATTTCATTTCCTTTAGATTTGTGCTAACATTCAAATTAAGTGCACAAAAGAGAGCACTGAATGAATGAGAAGGCAATTCAATCGATCCATAATTTAGTCTTTTTCTGAATTTCAAATAAGGGACAGAAAACGACGAAAAGTAAAGGATAATTAAATTTTATGAAACACTAGAAACTAAAGTACAGTCACACATATAATCACTGCTCTCTCTCTCTCTCTCTCTCTCTCTCTCTCNATATAATTTTCATTCAGATCTACAAAATAATAAATCTATAAAACTTGAACTCATTCTCTACTATACATCTAATGTCATAACAACATGTAATCTCTCTCTCTCTCTCTCTCTCTCTCTCTCTCTCTCTCCGCGAACTCAAAAAATGCTTTGAAAGTCAAAGAATTTAATTTCTATCTTGAATTTGGATTATAAGAATTAAAGACAGACAAGACTTGAGTCTTTGATCTGGTTTTTCTCACAATGAATTTCAATCACAGAATAACTGCTCAGCTTTTAAATGAAAATATATTGAAAGATTGAATAAATGAATAGATATTTTTACAATCTATATGTAACTACAATTAGCCGAGAATTTGCACTACATTTGGCGATAAACATATAATTAAATTATTTTTAACTAATAAATTAAACGTGTAATTTTAAATAAGCTAAACGTTAAGTCCGTGAATTTTTATGTTGAAAGCAATAAAATTTTATTTGCAAACTTTATGGACTTCAACTTGCAACTTTAACTACAAGTTATATCACGCGAATTCTGTAATGTAACAAATTTTGTAATTTTATATAACATAAAAATCGTTGAAATTAATGCTAAATTTTAGCACAAATTTAAAATAAAATAATAATGAAAGGGAGGAAATAGTTTAGCCGTAACTATTATAGTAATGTTTGCAATATTGTCATATACATATATATTGTATTACTTGTTATATTCTAATTTCAATTATAACGTAAAGTTTTACTGTACTGTAGTTTCCTATCATTTAAATTAACTATCATTATATTGTGGTAATTGAATGTTAATTATATACAGTAAATGTTTACAGTATAATAACATAACATAATTTTAGATAACGTAAATTTATTTAAAGTCAATTTTCATTTTTGTATTACAGAATGCAAAGTGGTTTTCAAATGTACTCCACTCTACTTATTGTTACACAAATACTGTATTTTTAGCATTCATTGAAAAGCAATTATAGGAAATTTATATATGAAAATCCTTTTGAAATATACTAAATATATAAAGTGCATTAAATTATTTTATGAATTCTTTATTTAATTCCATAAAATATGTTATTAGGATATATACTGTACTGTACAGGAAGATATAACTACTACTAGGTAGTTATTTTTATTCACATTTTGTATTATAAAGTTTATTAATATAAACGACAGTATAAACTCAATGGCAACCATACAGTATACTGTATACCTGTACTGAAATTGACAAATATTTGAATTACAACCAATATTATACATTTAACATTACTGTTAGTTAACAGTTATTTAATTAAAAATTTATTGGCAATTCACTTATATTTAAATCTTTGTGGGATTATGAAAGATACAGCAGTTCATTGGCACCATTAACTTGGGTACAATTAAACAAGGTACTTTGATCATTATAAACTGATATACAGTAGTTGTATATACTGTAGTTGTAAAGTTGTAAATGTAGTGTAACTTTACAAGAGAGTGGAATATTCTGCACAAATAATGTGATTTCGATTACAATATTTAGTTCCCAACAAATAGGAAAAGGATGGCAAAGGCATAGGAAGGGGTGGCGAAGGACTTTGGATATGGAAATTCACGCCATTTAGATATACTTTAACATTGAATTGATTGCAATGATTATAACTATAATTTATAATGTTTTTCTGTTTGTTAGACGACTCTATGGCGTAAACAAAGTTAAGACCCAATTCAAGGCCACATTTCGCACAACATTTTCATTCATTCATTTGACTGTATATTAAACTAGAGGTTATTTTTGCCAAACTTGTTACAACTTTTTGTTGTGTTTCTATTATTTAGTCTGAAGACTAGTTGGGACCCAATATTAGCGGACAATGTCGTCGACAACTCAGGCAATCGACACCAATTGTATGACATTAACGCGATTTGTTTTGGCAGAACAGCGCAAAGTGTCGGACGCGACGGGAGAGTTGACCACTTTGTTGAATGCCATCTGCACTGCAGTCAAAGCCGTCTCATCGGCCGTACGGAAGGCAGGAATCGCTAAATTGTACGTTAATTGCATGCAAAACATTTCATTTAAATGATAACTATTTTTTTCGCCCATATTATTGTATATTATTATTATTTATTATATTTTTCCATAAATTATTGAATTTCATTTGAAACATACAAATGCGTTGAGTCTACAAATGAACGGATCATTTATTTTGATTCAAATAAAAATCAATATTAATGATTAGTTTTGACAGTAAAATATATAAATAGGAAATGGATGTGATTTATTTATTTGAAACATACAAATGCGTTGAGTCTACAAATGAACGGATCATTTATTTTGATTCAAATAAAAATCAATATTAATGATTAGTTTTGACAGTAAAATATATAAATAGGAAATGGATGTGATTTATTGGTTAATCGTGTGATGATTTGTCAGAATAGTTAACCTATGGTTAAAACTCAATTGTTTAGGTATGGAATCGCCGGTCAGACCAACATTCAGGGCGAAGACGTGAAAAAGTTGGACGTTTTGGCCAATGATTTGTTCATAAATATGTTAAAGTCTTCGTATACGACATGTTTGCTCATCTCTGAAGAGAACGACACTGTCATCGAAGTAGAGCCCGAAAAGAGTGGCAAATATGTGGTCGCTTTCGACCCATTGGATGGCTCTTCTAATATCGATTGTTTGGTTTCAATTGGATCTATATTTGCTGTCTATAGAAAAGTATTTCATTTATATATCGCTTAATAAGACTAATTGGAAGAATGCGAAGGAATTCAATGCATTAATTATTTTTGATTATTATTTAGGAAACAATTAACGGAAAGATTGGAGTGAAGAGCGGACGCTCTATAGGTATTGAAATGCATGTAATTCTTAATTAATTGCTAAAACTTTCAATACTTTGCACGAAAATTGCAACAAAAAAAGTGGCCGCGGGTTATGCCCTCTACGGAAGCGCAACAGCCATTGTGTTAAGTATGGGAGACTCTGTTCACGGCTTTATGTACGACCCGGTAATGAAAACTCACTTTTGTCTGCAATTTCACATTTACTATAATATAATGGTATTAATTGAATGGTTAGGCGATCGGAGAATTCATTCTAACGAACCCTTACATGAAAGTGCCCTCAAAAGGAAAGATATATAGCGTGAACGAAGGCTATGAATCGCAATGGGATCCAGTGGTCAAAGAGTACGTTCACAGCAAGAAGTATCCCAAATCGGGAAAACCGTATTCCGCTCGATATGTGGGTTCAATGGTGGCTGACGTCCACCGAACCATTCTTTATGGCGGAATATTTCTATATCCGGCCACTAATGACGCCAAGAATGGAAAGGTATGTATCGATCGATCCGCAAGTTTTGCCATACATTGACGCAAATGTGTTGTGCGATAGTTGCGACTCCTCTATGAGGGCAACCCAATGGCGTTCATCATTGAGAGCGCCGGTGGTGTGGCATCCAATGGAAAGATACCAATACTTGACATTCAGGTGAAGGACATTCACGAGAGGACACCAGTATTCTTGGGCTCCAAAGACGATGTCAACGAAGTACTAGATATGTATCGCAAGGCTTAAATCCGTACAAAACAAAAGTTTTTGATCTGAACTTTGAACACATGGTTGTAATCATGATATTTTCGAAATGAAAATAATTTTTTAATGGTTTGTTATAATTGATGTTTTTGCTAATAAATACATTATTTTGAAAGATATATAATTGTTCTGTTTTACAAATTAATTCATATTAAATGAACAAAAAAATGTTAGAAGTTATGAATACGAATCTAATGATAATAACAATTTGTTGTTCCGTATATTTCGTAAAATAGTTTAAAAGCACTTATATATAGACAAATCATTTGAGAAGAATATTTGGTTTGTTTGGAATCCAAACTTTGGATAATTATTAGATTAAAGATTTTTGAATATCTTTTAAAAATGAGAAAAACAACAAAATATAAAAACTACTAAAAACTTAACAAATGTTTGAATTTGTTTTTTGATGACAATTACAGAATATAGGGATTGACTAAAACGGAGGGGAAAGTGTCTGTTACTCTGCCTTAATATAAATAACCAAATACTTTCAGTCTTACACTAAATTAAATTAAATTACAAAAAAACACACAAAATACTATAATTATAATATTAAATACAAATTAACAGATATTTACTTTCATAAGAAATTCTCAAATAAACAAAACATTTTTTGTCTTAATTCATAACTAAAACTAAATGATTGAATAGTTTGTGAAAAATGTTTGTAGTTTTGCGCTCAATATCTTGCTTTACGATTATTTCGATTATTGTTGTTATTATTATGTGATCTCCAATTGTGTTGATTACGATTGAGAGGAGGCGGCGGTGCGTTCATAGGAGAGTATGAGTGCTGTGCGGCCACGACTGCCGATCGCGGTGTTCGCCAATGAGATGTCTGTATGTTTGGGTGCGATGTGTGGGGCGGAGGGTATGGATGGGTTTGTTGCACAACACTGTTCAGTGACGGCCGGACAGGCATTCGGGCCACCGATTTGAGGGCTGGAAACGACGGCATATACTGCGGCACCCGATTGTCACCGACACTATTCGAGTTCGTCATGTGATTATTGTTGGCATAGAGTCTGTCGTTATTATTAGTCATATTAAACTCGGGTAACTGTGGTTCGGTTGAGTTGCGTCGGGTGTCAATCACTTTAATAGTTCTATGGGTTTGCTGTGGTCTGAGGTCTTCGTCGTCAGAGTTGCCCAAATCCATGTCCGCCGGTTCCATGTTCTCCGACGGCTGTACCGACGAGTAGTCGTGAAACAATGACATCATATTTGACGACACGATCGGTGGTAAGGCTGACAGTTGGGGACCAATTTGTTGGCCGCGAGTGGAGACCAATGGCTGTATGTGTTGAATGTCTCCACCAGTGGTTTGGTGTCGATTGATGTCATGCATGGGTTGAGAGTAGTTGTAGTCATACATGGCTTGACTGTGGTTTAGGTTTGGCTGATGTGATGAATATAGCGATTCGTTTTGATAATTCGCGTTCAGATTCTGGTCACTCATTGTATTTTTGTTCATCCAATGGTTATTATTGTTATTAATATTCGCATAATTATTGTTATCATTATTACTACTAATGGCTGGTATTTGAATGGATTGACTGTTTTTGTTGATATTAAGATCATTTGAATCACTCACTTGCGAGTCCTTCACGTGCGACATATTATGCATTAGCGATGAAAGTCTTTGGTCGAGAGAACTGGTGGTTTGGTTCGCAGCCGAGGGGAACACAAGGCCACGGATCAGAGGGTTCACATCAGTGGCAAAGACTCCCATTTGGGGCAAATTCGGGCCGTCGTCTGAGTTGGTGGGCGACGGGGCGTCTCGTGGAGGCGATGGCAAAGGACTGGGAAGCGAACTCCGGCTCTCTTCCAGTTTGCGCCACACATTGCGAACTCTGAGACCGAAGTTCTTGTAGGCGTCGACCACTGTCTTCGCCTCTTCTTTCTGTGTCTCGTAAAAGATTTCACTCTTTTCGAGATTTTCAATCAAATCGCTTCTCGTGTGGACCTCTTTCTCGAGCGAATTGATCACCGCTTCCAGACATTTGGTGGCGTCATCGAAGTCGCGGCTGAACTGTTCGCCATGTGTTTTGTCCTTCAGTTTGTTGAGCACTTCACCGGACGTCGCGTCCACTTTGCAGTTCACCAAACACTCCAACTTCGAAGCGCTCGTCTGTTCCGCTTTCTTCGTCTTCTTCATCCTCTCAATCAGTTCCGAGAGTTTGAATTCGGCCACAATTCTGGACACAGCGGCCAAATGGACACTCTTTCCCGACAGCAATCCTCTCAACTCTTCGATCAGGTCTTCGCTGTAAATACTCCTCTCGAGCCATATATTGAACACTCGCTCAATGTTTGCGCTGATCTGATCCTCTTTGCAAAGAGCCGTCGCTTTCTTGAGATAATCGGCGAAGTGGTCCACGAATTGCGGAACTCCTTTGCGTTTTGCGTGTTGTATGACATCATTGGCCAAATAAAATAGTGTCAATCGATGGCTCGATTTGGCTGAAGACAGACACAGACAGTGATTATGGGATCAAATGATTGAATGCAAACCTTTAGTGAAACAATTAAACCAAATGTGAATAATCCTCTTGTAGTGAGTCTTGTGGTGAAGGATCCAAAGGGAGAGGCCTTGAATGCTGTCCTGAGAATTGGTCACAACCGCCAACTTCTTCTCCAAACTCGTCTCATTCAATGACATCTCAAACCATGGTTTGCATCACTCATCCAATCAATGCATTCACTAATCAATTCAATCCGATTTTAACCACAATTACAGTCAACACTCAATTCAACCCAAACTTCAATCGCTGTTCAAATGTGTGTCACTTTTGGGCTAACAATGCATTCATTGATGTCTTAAACACAATATAAACGACACTTTGTTTTGACTCAAACTTTAATTGTAATCAAAATTAATTATATTTTCGCCATATTTTCAATACATTTGCAAATGTTTTGTGTTTTGTTTCCCCAATATATTGTATGCGGTGTAGAGGTGTTCGCCGATACTTATTGTCAAATGTACAGTACGTTTACATATTGAACGCCGCCTTACAGTCAGACACAGTGTATTAAATGTGTTTTACACACAATGTTTCAAGTATTCAATTCTATGCTGTACTGTACTTTTGTATATATAGGAGAATTTGTATGAATTGCATAATTAATTTTACTTAATGATTATAATTTAATTTAAATAATTTTTTATCAGTTAGATTCAGTTGGTCATTTTGGGAGCAAACCAACTATATAAGTGCCCTTTTGACCAGGTTTTTAATTTTAAATATGATTTACCCGAAATTTGAATGCAAGCGTTTCTTTACATAACCCTCACAATTGTCAGCATTTTATCACTGTATGACTATTTGAAATTCTGAAATGAACTAGAACTTTTCTAAATATTAAATTTAGATTTACAAAGTTTAATATTAACAATTGTGTATTATCAATTACATTTACTTTTAAAATTTATATTGTGTTTTGTCTAATATTCGTGTAATTCTTTAATAATCTAGAGCGTAACTCAAAAATTCAATGGAAACGAAAATTATTATTTTAATTAAGTATTTTAATAATTTTGATATCTATTGACTGAATGTATGATTGAGTAAATTGTTAATAACGTATATTAAGTTATAACTTAAGATTTTTGTTCATCATTATTGAGCTGATTTATAAATTATAATATATGTTAACTAATTGTAAGCATTTATTCTACAAAATACTCATACTTTTATGATTATCACAAATTTCTATGATATATAAGCGGACGAAACATTCATTTCTATGTACAGAGTGTACGGCATAAACCATATTGAAGACGATGGAGAAAACAACATCATTGCTTCCCTATATCACTATCATTTCAGATCCACTTTTGTGATATATGAACAAAATATTGTATACTATTAGATCCAAGTTGTGTGAACTAACCATTTGTATGAACCAAACCCTAAAAACAAAACCCGCACCCAATAGATATAATGTTAAAATTCTGTTAACTGTATGAACGTAAACTCTATAAAAATTTGTATGTTTTTATTCCCGAAAAATGGAAGCTTTAATTATAATTCATGCGATAATTAAATAATTTTCAACATTTATTACATCTATTATTACATATTTGGTTTGATATAGGTTTACATTAATTTCAATTTAAATATTTGTAAATACAATCATCTCATTATGAAGTTAAATATGAGGGAAGCATATATTGCACAAAAACATCAATACTTTTATAATACATGATATGATATAGAATATTAGAGACGGCAAAGAGAGGCAAAGAGACGGTTGAGTCCGGGAATGGATGTGTAGTTGAGGAATGGTCTAAAGGGTGGACTGATTGAGAGCTAAACCCAATAAACTGTTATGAATAGCAGGAAAATGAGTTCTATTGAGTCTCTTAAGTGCTGATAATAGGAGGAGAAGACGACCGAAACGAAGTGTTAATGAAGTGGGAGTTGTGTTGTCTATAGTGTGTTGTATTTGTTCGTAGAGAAGGATCTGTGCCTCGTCTTGCATTGATCTGATGTGCTCTCCATTTGATAGACCACTGCATTCTGTGTCCACACAATCGGTTATGTAATGAATAAAATGCAATTCAATTAAAGTTTCAATAAAATTGATTACTATATCATAATAGATAGGAAAGCAATAAATGTCAAAATGTTAGACATAGAGCTCATTGATTATGAATGTAATACATTGTGTGCAATACTTGCCGGGTCTGAACAGAAGAAGCACTTTAAGACATGTGAACTCAATTTGGTTGATGTGAAGACTTTTCACGTATTCAATAATATCCGAAAGCTTTCTCTGTTCTATGCTATGAGTGAAATAGTTGTTCAAAACCATAACTGTATAGTTAGTGCTCTCAGTGTTTAAACTGATTGTTTGNTCGCATACAAAAATTTTTGCCGTTTTTTTTGGTACAATATTTCAAATATTTAAAGTGGTGTTTGAAGTGATCGCAAGTTTTTCCTATTTTTCTGTATATTTAGTACGAGTTTTAGCACTGATTCCTATCTCTAAGGGAGAGATAAAAGTGAGGCTTAAAAGAAATCGACAAAACTTTTTGCAATACATTCTTTCGGTAAACGTTTTACAACACAATAGAGTATTTGATTGCAGAGAGAGAGAGAGAGAGAGAGAGAGAGAAAGAGAGAGAGAGAGAGAGAGAGATGTGAATTGAAGGGAAGATTTGAATGGAAATTCTTAAGCTTTTTAAGACTCAATTCTCTCTCCAACTAAAGGAGATGTTATCTATACTTTGCTTTTAACAACTCCAGTGAACACCATATTTACCCTCATATTAATGGGTTTTAGCCATAAAATTTTATTTTCACATTCATTTGTATAACAATTTGTAAAACTTTTATTCTTCGTGCCCTCTTGTGTCCATCAGTTCCCAGTTATAACGTGGCCTCCATTCGCAACAGCGCTCACGTCATCGAAGGGGTCAGTCGTACCAGAAATGCTCTCATCAATGGTTTGTTTGCTTTTATTTATTCAAACATTTATGCTCTCAAATGCTTGTTATAGTGAATTCACAACACATATAGTGTATAAAAGCACACAATTTAAACAATTTATGAAATGTTATATTTTTCACAACACTATTCATTAGGCGACTCAAAGAACTACGATTGGGATACAGGGTATACGTGCCATCAGTTGGGCAGCGGTGCGATCGTTGTGCAACTCTCGCAGCCATTTATGATCGACTCGATGCGACTGTTGCTGTGGGACACAGACAAACGCTCCTACAGTTACTACGTGGAGGTGTCGGTGGATCAGCAGAACTGGTCAATGGTGGCCGATAAGCGTAAAGAGTTTTGCCGCTCGTGGCAAGTGTTGCGCTTCGAGCGCCGGCCAGTGGTCTTCATTCGCATCGTCGGCGTCTACAACAGCGCCAACGAAGTGTTTCATTGCGTCCACTTTGAGTGTCCGGCGCAGGTGTCGGACGAGTCCTCGACCCTCGACGACGGGTCTGACGACTCCGGTGAGGACGTGCCCGACGACCCCAACATCGAGGAAGAGATGGCTGTCGTCGCCGTTGGCGGTAATGAATTGGTTGTCGAGGAGAGTGTCCAACAAGTGATGGATATTTGGGCCGAAGGGGACGCTAACGATGAGAATTGAGGCCAACATTTGATTTTTCTATTTAATTATTGTTTTTTTAAATTATTTTTTCGTCGATTTTAAATCGATTTGAATTGTGTTTGAGATCTAATTATTTTTTTCGCCGAAGAGTTTCTCATTACTGGCATTACTTATATTTATTCGCAAACCATAAGCAGATTCGCACTTATCGTTGCCGTCGGTGTACCCGAGAGGCGCACCGATAGTAAACTGTACTCAAACTTTTGAGTAGAGTTACGCTTATAAATCATATTTAAAATGTGAATCTCTCGGCCAATCAACACGTTTTTGATATTTAAATCACTATTTTATGTTTTATGTTATTTTTGAAATTATGTGTCTCTTTATGGTCACGAAATTTAACGTACAATTTATTGAATCGTTGCATGACTTTAAATGTATAGAAAAAACTTGTATTTTGTGTTTAAAAGTATAGATTGTATTTAGATTTGTATTGATTGCATACATATTTCTAATTGTGATTTTGGAAAGTAAATTATTAGTTATTTTGCAAATAAAAGAAAATATTTGACATTTTGTTTCCGAAATAAATGATTATTTTATTTTATTATTAATGATTATTACAATAATTATAATAAACGCTAAATAAATTGACAATTTAAAAAAGTTAACTAATCATAAATTACAAGTAAAACACAAACTACTTATACAATTCAAGGCACATCACCGGCAGTGACTACATATTACCGGACTTCTTGACCACATGAGCGCAGTCACGAGTGCCGCGAACCACACGGAGCTTAAGGCCGGGCACATCGCGGACGCGCCGCTTCTCGATCAACACAACGCTGTGCTCCTGAAGGTTGTGTCCCTCCCCGGGAACAAAGGCCACCTTCTCCTTGCCATTGGTGAGCCTCACGAGCACACACTTGCGGTTAGCGCTGTTGGGCTTCTTGGGCTTCTTGATCAGCGTCTTCAGCACCACTCCCTTCATCTGCGGCTGATTGTCCAGCGGGTGCTTCGGCTTCCGGCGCCACGAACCGCCGCACACGTGGAACCGATGCAACAGCCGGTTCTCTTCCCACTCCTCGTCGGTGGCCATCGGCCGACCCGACCGTTCCCACCAGCGGTCGCCCTCCGGAACCCATTTATGCTGGTATTGTTGGTCACCGGCGGTCGCGTCACCGCTCGATAGCCGCACCGCCGATAGCCGGCCGACGATTAGATCCGTTAGCAATGGCTCTGAAATTAATGGTAAATATTTTTTGTTTAATTCACGTATAGTTTTAATCATTAAATGTCATACTTTTGGCGTTAAATACAGTATTGATTGAAAAGTTGTTACAATTATTAACGAGTTGTCCGTTGAATGTGTGGCTAATCAGCGATCGGCCGCTCATTAGGCGTCCAATCGTTGAAAACATTATTATTATATTAAACGCAAAACACAAATATTGATTGAAAAGTTGTTACAATTATTAACGAGTTGTCCGTTGAATGTGTGGCTAATCAGCGATCGGCCGCTCATTAGGCGTCCAATCGTTGAAAACATTATTATTATATTAAACGCAAAACACAAACAAAACTAAACTTTTGTTTTTTAGACAAACAAATCAATCAAAACAATCGCTTTATTAAAGCCATTATAAACACAATTAACACAAATTGTTTGCTAAACAAATGCAAACACACGTGAAATCAGTGTTTTGTAAACATATGATTAGCAGAGAGTTCGACAACAAACAAATTTCCGCAAATTTCTACGGAATTTCCAATCGTTTACATAGAGTTAAACGAAGGGAACATTTCAATAAAAACTTCCCAAAACCTCTACACAACTAGTATTGCCATCTATTGGTTAAACCATTGCTGTATTTGTGGGCCAATAGATGGCAACACTATATCCATTCAATCGCTTAATTGCATACAAACAGCCCTTTAATGCAGTGTTTGTTTTGAGTGATTGACTCTTGGGATCAACTCATTTAACTCGTGGTGTGATTATCGCCTGACATGTGATTATCCACGCCATCAGCGATCGACACAGCAATCAATGGCCGAGTCTTCTGCGGCCAATCGCGTGAACGCCCAGTCGGTGGTCACCTCTGAGACCAATCCATCCATATTTGAAGTGTTGGCTCAACAGAGTCTGGCCG